TAAATATGGCAGTTAGAAGCCTGGTAAGGGTAAGATGTCGCCGGCTGAAGCGGGATCGGCCGACGCGGGAAACGCGGCATTCACAATTTTGTGTTTACACACTCATAACTCAAGTTGTTACCGGCCGATTTTCAAAATTCTTTGACCATATGATTGCCTGTACATTTCTCAGTCTTCTCACCAAATTTGACGCGAATCTAATCTAATCAGCGGTAAGGAGCGCGATGTAAAGACGGAACCGTCCCGCCCCGGCACAGTCTACAATTCAGGCGGCGCGTAACGGCTAGCGCCGGCCGCCGCGCCGCCGCGCCGCCGCCGCGGCAGGATGTTTGACTTTACACCGCTATTTCTAGAAAAGTTGTGAACCGATTTTCTTATTTCTGGCACGGTAAGATCCGCAATTCAATTCTGGACAGGTAGCCAAAATTTCACATTAATATTATGTTTGCGGCGCGAGTTATTGGCGAAAAACAGGAGGGGTGGGCGAAATCCGCCCCCCCCCCTTCCACTGCGCGTGTTAAGTTATGACCCCATTACACCACACGCAAGTGGCAGAAATGACAATGATCAGCTGACGCATTTTTCTTGGCCGAAGTCAGAGCGCGCGGCCCGACGCACCACGCGTATTTGGAAATTCCGACCTCGACGAGCATCAGAAGCCACCTAACAGGCGTGTTCGAAACCGCAGGAGATGATGATGAACGGGTTTATCGAAACTTGATTGGATGAGCCTATCGGTAATAGCGATTTTAGTGTGTGCATTTATTGTTCATAGTGGTGTGAAATGTGGTTGGGGTACGACCGACAACCCGTCGGGGCGAATTTCGCACTGGGGTACTCAAAATTTGAAGAATTTAAGACGTTTCCATAAGTTTTGAAGGAATGGATAAGTTCTAAAAATCCGGTTCTCCTTATCCGGGTCATTAACTCCATATGGTCCAAGAAAGCTGGCACACTACCTTTAAAGGGCCATCGAATGCGCTTTTCCGCGGCGCTGTAGTTCTATTGGTTCCCAAGTTAGCCGTTGGCAGTTTCCAAAATTATTGAAATTGACTAGATTTGACCTGTGATGACCTCTGGTGACCTGACCGTAATAATGAATTCGGTTGCCAAGCGTAATAGTGTAAGTGGGTGCCACGCGTAATAGTGTAATTGGGTGCCACGCGTAATAGTGTAAATCGGGTGCCGGGCGTAAACGTGTAAATCGAGTGCCATGGTTCCCAATCGGGCAGCCCGCTCTCGGTCGCTAGTGCTCAACGCCTCTCGAGTTGTGCATGATTTCAAAAACATGGCGTGCCCTTGGCGCGCCATTTCAGAGGCACCACTCGACAAAATCAGTAAGTGTATCGACCCCCTAATTGTCACCCTTCCCCCTCCCCCCACTTCACCCCTAACTATGTACCATTTCTATATTATGGTATTAGAAATGAAAATATTTTTTGCCGTATTTCACTATTATTTCACCACCGTAACATGAGCATAAGGTCGTTTTTCAACGCCATACCTAATATTCATCATAATGCTGAAACAAGCCATAGCTCACCATCAACGACTTGCATTACCTAATTCAGTTCAAAGGGGTCAAATGGACTGTTCATTACTTTGTTCACTTTATCGCACATCAGTTGATTAAGCGTTGAACCTTTATCTGGTCATCAGTGCTGCTCTTAGGTAAATACATGCCTGAGTGGTATGAGCTTGAATGGCAATGCTATGTGTGTTGCATATTGTGTACTCACTCACTCATAGATATAGATTAATTGGACCCTGGAATGTATTTTGTGTATTTTGGAATGTATTTTGGTCATTGCGGCATTCACATAGGGCCTAGTCCGCCGGCCACAACAGTATGACATGGTATGGTTATTGGTTACTCGTTGTCATTCCCATCGGTTTGATTAAAGAAGGACTGAGAAGCCAGTTTAGCAGCTGGTCGATGCGGGCGGCCTCTGGGCGTCAGCTCCGTGGTGGTCAGAGCAGCGGAGCACCGGGCCGCGGTCGTGGCGCGCCCGTCAGACGCGCCCGGTGCCTGTGTTGCAGTGATGGCGGCGCGGCGCGCGCTGCTGCTGGCTGCGCTGCTGGTGTGGCCTCCGGACCCGGCCGACGGCTGCGCGTCCACCGTGCTGCAGGGCGGCACTCTGGCCGACTCGGAGCTGGTCGAGCCGCCGGTCAGCACGGCCACCAGCTGCGCCTGCTGCGGCCTCTGTCACCAGCGGCGCCACTGCGCCAGTCTGAGCTTCACGGCGGCGGACGGCACGTGCCGGCTGTACCGGACCGTGCCCGACTTCCGCCGGCTGCGGGTGGCCGCCGGCAGTGCGCTGTTCGTCCGGCCGGGCCGCTCCGAGCACCGCCAGTTCTGCCGGCTCGACACCGACTGCCTGGAGCCGGACGACAGGTGCTACGGCCGGCTGTGTACCACCGACGTCACGGTCACCTGCCGCGACCTCAGCGAGACGTACGGCGCGCCGGCCAGCGGCCTCTTCTACGGCTCCGTCGACGGCGCCACCATCCGGCTCTACTGCCGAGAGATGAACGGCACCACAGGCTGGACCAAGATCGGCTACTTCACTACAGGGTTAGCGCAGCCAGTGGCCTGGTGCCCGGCACGTGAAGATAAGAATTAAGATATTACATAACAAAACTGTTTTATAAACCTTTTACCTGAACTAATAATACAGTTGTTTTTATAACGCATCAAAAACGCGAACAAACTTCACTCAATTTAATTTCTTCAGTATATCTGAAATGCCTGAAATTAAATAAACCATTAGTGAAAAGGATAGGCATGTAAAACGTTTTTTTAATAAGGTAATTCAAGCTTGCCGGAAGTGGCTAGACCTGCTTTGAGAGGGTCTGGCACGACTCAGATAGGAAACGACATCTAGCATGTGCCTGTGTCACCATCCTGCACCAACTGCCTCTGTGTCACCATCCTGCACCATGTGCCTGTGTCACCATCCTGCACCAACTGCCTGTGTCACCATCCTGCACCAACTGCCTGTGTCACCATCCTGCACCAACTGCCTGTGTCACCATCCTGCACCAACTGCCTGTGTGTCACCATCCTGCACCAACTGCCTGTGTCACCATCCTGCACCAAGTGCCTGTGTCACCATCCTGCACCAAGTGCCTGTGTCACCATCCTGCACCATGTGCCTTTTATTCCCACTGCCGCTCACGTCCCGTCTGTGAGTGTTTGTCTACCTTGCCGCAGGAGTACGGGTTGGGACCGGTCCAACATACTGGAGCGGAACGTGGACAACCCGCACGGCGCCTATTCGCTGCTGGCGCGGGCTGACAAGCTCCGTCTGTCCGGCGCCCGGCAGCGTTACCAGATCCGCATCGTGGGCAAAAGGTCCACGGGCGGCTACCGCGGCTTCATGGGCTCGCTGCCTACCAGCCAGAGCCTGGTGATCCACTCGGCCGACGAGGCTGCGCAGAGCGCCGAAACCGACTTCATTTTGGAGAAGGACATCGGCGGATACGTGTCCGACAGCCGCAGCAAGGGCCAGTTCCGACTGCCCTGGCTGCCGGCCACCGGCCACTCGCTGTTGTCGCTCGGAAAGCCGCAGGGAGACAACCAGATCTTCTGGACCATGATCGGCACCAACAACAAACCCCATCTGGACGGATCAGATTTTTACGAATATGTCACCTATTATATCAGAGAGTAGAGCGGGGCACTTAGGACCTACTCATCAGACAACTGAGATAATGCTTCTACACATGGCTATAACTATAGCTGCACATGAATAAAATAGCATAATGTTATCAGTCATTCCGCTGGCACTGGGTACCGTAAAATGGGGCTATTTGAGGCAGTGGGGCTATTTGAGGCAGGGCTAATCGCTATAAAATGAAGTTCGTTTGATTTTTATGTGATATTTTTGCTCAGGAAGGTGTGGAATCGAGCAGTAAATCGCCTGAGCAAAAATTAAGCATAAATTTCAAACGGTTTTTATTTTATAACAATTTCAAATACTATCTCAAATAGCCCCACTGTCTCAAATAGCCCCACCTTACGGTACCCTTTTCTTAGTTGCGGTAACTGAGGGCGAGGCGATCTCGCCCTGCACAGTGCGCGCCGGCATCAGTTGACCCGTGCACAGCGATAGTGTTTAGGAGAAACCCGATGCTACATAACCGGCGGCGAGTTCGGCACTCGGCCTGAGCACTGCACTGCACCATACTGCACCCTCTCAACTCGACGAAACGCGCCGGCGTTCAAACCTCATGTGAGCTTCAAACATCGACGAGTCGGTATCGATTATGTGCCGCTTCAAATAACATAAAATAAAATAAGTTATTAGGTACTCGTATTGAACAAGGAGGTGGCCTTTCTTGCTTCATCGTCTTCATTGTGTCACTTTTTTGTTAGATCAGTCTGTTGAACCTTTATCTGCATTGTCGTCGTCAGGAGAACTAACTAGGTATATGGCCGGGATATTAGGTATGCCTTTTCAAAGAAGTAATTAAATAGGTTCCATAGGTTCAAAAAAAAAAAAAAATACTGTTCACGACTTGTAATGGCTGTCAGATAAGTTGCAATGCTGGGCGCTGCTATTCATGATGCTTCGTTTGATTGTCGTCCTAATTTCATTGGTGCAGTTATGCTATTAAAACAAGGCCATTAATAAATGTATGATGCAAAACAGATTTCTTTTTTAATTACACCAACCTGCTAGGTATTATCCGTTATCGCAAGATATGTTAAGCGATGTATTCTCAAACACATTATGTAGAGCTAAACTGTGCGTCATTCTGCACGAAATTTCGTCTCATTTGACCTCAATGGATCTTGAGGGTCCATAGAAACCAATGGTCCAATGGGTCCATAGAAACCAATAGTCCAATGGGTCCATAGAAACTGTTAGCATCGTTCTTTGATTCGTCAAAAGTAAGGCGTAGCGCAAATTTTAATCGAGAAAGAGGAATGATGCAATCACACGCCACGTGTTACTTTTCCTGTGATTGAGTAAAGTCAGTTAATGTAATCGCTGTTTCAAGGCCTTGAATAAATCCAGCGTTGTAGACTTTGCACCTTTTCAACGCCACATGGCGTCACAATTGTCTGTATCAGGACAAACGCGGGCGCCTGCCTCAGCTGCTGACTTTATTTTAGCTTCATCAAATATACCTCAAGACTCGCTCATTTCCTGGTAACAATCGCTTATTGCACGAGATGCTAGACCGGTATTGTGCATTTGGTCCCATCGGAAATGCATAACTGCGTGAAGCACTGTGACTGTGTGATGTGCTTAATTACGTGATTGATTTAATTGATAATAATACACTATTTTCAAAAACACTAAAAGAACGTCTAGCATTAACTTTGTCACCTCAAAGACTCTTTGGCCTGCCTTTTTGGCAGCTTTTCTGTTTCCTCATCATGCCACTGTTTCAACTAGCAGTGTGTGCCATATGGCGGGAGCACGAAGGGTCACTGAAGAAGTCAACGTCACCTCTGACACTGTCTTCCAAACCCGCGGGCTATTTGCATCTGCAATATGACCTGCTTCCTTCTGCCTTCTACAAGACATGCTCCGTCTCCCTGATTAACTGGGGCAGAGTTGCCAAGGTAGGTGAATAAAGTTAAGCACCGTTCACCACTATAACTGAAACAATTAGTATCGCCGTAAAATGTGTTTTTAAGCCATAAATGGCCGTTGGCCAGTGAGAAGTTCAGTTCGGTTCCTCGTTTTTGACTGGACTCGTTACGACTTCATTCGGCGTCCGTTCCCGTTTCTCCTATGAGCTTGTCGCAGCTCCCACCTTTGGCCCCGACCCTGTGATAGTGTCCTCGTGCCCGTCCGCACTATACCGGATGGTAACGACTGGCGCCCATTCCTGGCCGCTGCAGCTGGTGACCGGTGACGGCTCCAGCTCGGCTCTGGCCCCCATCGTGCACGGTCACAACGTGTCGGCCATGGTGGCGCTGCTGGAGCACCCGATCGCCGTCAACCAGGACGGCATGCTCGACCTGCTGCACCACAAGGTCAACGTCACCGTCACCGAGGCCAAGGAGGCCGTGCCCAGCGCGTCAGTAGCCACGCCCCGTCCCCTTGCGTCATACACCCGCCACCGGCTGCAGCGCGGCGGCACTCCGCGGGGACGCGTCGCCCGACGCTTCCATCAACCTTTTCATTGTAGCTTGGCCATCGTGCTATGAGAAAGCGTAACTGATAGGTAGTTCGCAATCCGCAATGTAACGCATAATTCAGCGAAATTGTTTCAACCGAATTACGTTTCATTTATGTCTAATTTGAGTTATCTGTGATTTTGAGATACCATTACTCATTTATTTCGACTTTTTGTTTATTATATGACTTTGTATGCTGCTGTTCGTTGAGCTCAGCACCAGCCCCGTCCCGTCTATGGCCTGGTGGATTTATTCGGCTGGCCAGCTGGCACCCAGTGGTCGCAGCGGCTGTCCGATGCCGAGCTGACCGCCTCTGCCGCAGGATGCGCACCAAGCGGCCCGGTCACGTGGAGATGGTGGGCGCCGAGTGTGGCGGCGCCGCGCCCTCGGCCGACCAGGTGACGCTGACGACACCGATCGCCGAGCGCGCCGCCGAGGAGGAGCCGGCCGGAGAGGAGGCGCGCCCGCTGCCGCTCGAGCCCAGGGAGAAGGGTGAGCACCGAGCAAGACAGACCAGAGCAGGCGCACACGTACCGGCCGAACGGTCTGTGTGGTCGACAGTCCGCAGTCTGAGCGGTTATCGCATAGACCGCAGTTGTTAGAGAGCTGTATCATCTGTGTGTCATCAGTTAACCCTCGCATGTGTAGGGGGGGGGGGGGGGGTCGGATGGACCCCCCCCATGGTTTTTCGCGAATAACTCGCGTAAAAAGCGGCCGATCGCGACGAAACTTTCAGTACCCTCGCATTGATCAATTTTACACCTACCCTGGAAATTTCATGACCCTGACCCAAATGACCTTTGACCTGTGACCTCTTTTCCGAGACCATGTTTGGCCGGAATCGCGATTTCGCGTATGTCGGCTCGCACTAGCCGCGTGTTTGCAAGCTTTTCGTGGTTTCAAACGTTCAAACATGTGATTTGATGTTACTCCCGTGTGTGTCAAGGTCACCTGAAGGTCAGGTCAGGTCATTGACCTTTGGTGACCTCGGGTGACCTCGGGTCATTTTTCGAGTTTTACATTTTTCTAGGCTAGTTTTTGGAGCTAAATTCGAATTTAGCAACCATTTGAACATTTACGAAGTAGTTTTGGTGACTTCGTAACATGTTACGAAGCTGTCAGAGGCGGTTGACACGTACTACGAATACCCGTCACGACGCCTACTGGTTGACCTGACCTGACCTGACCCGACCTGGTCTAAATGCTTCAAGACATCATCTGTGATCAAAACTAACACGATATTCGTGATCAGCACCCCGAAAAACCCCTTAGCAGCCACACTTTACGACTTTCTAACAGGTCCTAATTTTCCCGACTTTGGGTCATTGACCTGACCTGGAAGGTCAACCAATGACCTAGGACCTTAAAATTGGGTATCATCGGCTTCCTCTCGTCACGGGCAACACGCTCGTTTTTTCCGCGAAGCTCTAGCTCGACCAGGGGCCAAACGGCAAGGGGGGGGGGTCCAACCGACCCCCCCCCCCCCCTACACATTAGAAGCTGGCAAACGCCGCACACATGCGAGGGTTAATCATATAGGTGGTCAAATCAGTCATAGCATATTCCCTGGAAATGTCAGTATCACTGTGGAATGTCTGCTCTTTTTTGATACAGCTCTTACTCAGATTCAGGTGAGTTCCATGTTCATTAGAAGTTCTCCATTGTTGTCTGCCACTATCTATATGTATGCGTACCGCGCGCCGTGACGGCTGGGCGTGGGCCGCCGCCGGGCTCGCCGACAGGCCGCGGCAGCTCGGACGTCTCTGTGAGCAGCACAGTGGGCAGCGACGAGCCGCCGACCGGTCTGGCTCTGCCCATCGCCGCCGGCTTCGGCGCCGTCGGCGACGAGCTCTGTCAGCGGCACTTCACTCCGCTGGTGGCGGAGGCCGAGCGGCTGGTCACACCCGTCCCCGAACAGGTGAACACAAACTGAACTGGTCAACAGGAACTGAACAGGGGAACGGGAACTGAACAGGTGAACGGGAACTGAACAGGTCAACAGGAACTGAACAGGGGAACGGGAACTGAACTGGTGAATGGGAACTGAACTGGTGAACAGGGACTGGACAGCTTAAAATACATACATTCCTGCCAGCGAATCGGTCAACCCGGACGCGATCGCGCCCCTCTGCCCTGTGAACAGGAATATGTACCATAATTACAGCCGTCCCTCAACTGGTGAAAATCCCTAGACGACAGATCAGCAAAGCCTACCAGAAACAGATGTGCATGGCTGCGCACTGCACAGTGCACACATGATGAAAAGTTACCACTATGCATTGGGCCGCTCTTGGAAGAGCTTCAAATGACACAATCACAGCTTCAAATTAAATTCGATGCAAGGTTTTTGATCAAATGTAAAGACACTTTGCTGGGAAAAGTCCCGCTTGCACTAAGTGCTGATGGGAACTTTACTGATACAAGATTAATTTAATAGGCATAGATTAAAGTTTTATGACTAAATGAATGGAACTCCCTTGCGACCCATTATAAGACATTCGCACGACATCGGAAAGACGGACCAATTCTGTTAAGTACCTACACTTTGTTCCGAGAGAGCACTAGACTGCTCGCTCAGGTAATTGTTTTTGGTAATAAAAAAGATTGGTTTTAGAGAGGAATGATGGACAGTCAACCTGCGAATGAGCTCAAGGTTTGTAGAAATTTATGGGTGTCACAGAGCTTACGATTTGTGGCCGGTCCATCACCACGATACCTACCTGGTTTATATCTGTGCTGGACCTCGTGCCACCGAATAACGTCCGTGCCTGGCTTTATTGCTTCTACAATCGGCCCGCGAGGTCGTACTGTAGATAGGCATCTTCCATGGACATGGTACATTACGCATTTTACATGTTCACCCCCTTGTGTGTGTCAGGAACGACAATGCCTACAACAATAATTAATGCTAACGCCGCGGCTGCAGGTCGTTAATAAGTTGCCGTTTTGCCGTCACATTTATTACTGTTAATTGAAGGTTTACATACTTCTATGGCATATTTGAATTGCCTAATCCATAGACCTCTGTATACCGGCATACAGAGGTCTATGCCTCATCATTTAGCTACGTCCACTATAAAAAAAGTATGAATTTCCTTCAAATTGTCGAAATTTAGTAAGATATTTGAAATACAATGGGTGAATCTAACATGTTTTCAGGCTTTATTATAACGGATTGTCAGAAAGCTTCTTGTCCTTTCTGTGCTCCATGGTGTAGGAAAAAGCTGCCATTATGCGCCCGCTTAAGCGAAAACTCTTCTGTGCTTGAACAATGCGTCCGGTAAACGCTCTCTCTGCTTAATAACGATCCTTGAACATTTTTTAACTAAAATCCACCTCCATTCTTGCAAATCAAGTAACTTTAATGGGTAAGTAAAAATTGCGTTTTTCCGAGCCCCTGCAAAAGCGCATTGCATTTAATAAGCACACATGCCAAATTGCGCCACATGAAATAGCCCTTTTAGAGGCAAGGGGGCTTAACCCTCACCGGACCTATTGGCTTTCTTGGCCGAGGGGGGGGACGAGTACGACCCCCCTCGCCGTTTCGCCCCTGGCATGGAGCTAGCGCGTCGCGGAAAAAACGAGCGTGTGCGCCGTTACAAGACGCAGATATTGATAACCGACTTTAAGGTCCTATGTCAACCGGTGACCTCTAAGGTCAGGTCAAGACAAGTGCCCTAAGGTACGGTTCCGTTTTTGGTGAATAACTTCACAAAAAACGGCCGCACAGCCGCGATTCTGGCAGCATCGTGTTTGCCTCGCTCAGGCGCGTCGAATGATACACTTTTTGTTTGGGTGAGGTCAACTTAGGGTGTTGACCTCGTGTCACGGTGAGGTCAGCGCCTCCAGGTCATAAAATTGGTCGAAGGAGGTCACGTCGCATATCATTCGATTCGGCAGGTCTTCCTGAGTCCATTGGTGGCTTTCCCGACTCGCTAGCTCAATTTGTTCGGGAGGTATTGACGAAAAACTAATATGACCCTAATGACGTCATAAATGACGTAACGGAAGGTAAACATTGCAAAGGTGACGCATCGAATCTTGCAAGGAGTGCATGAAATCACGATTCTGTGCAGAGGCGGATCCAGCGGACCCGTTTGGGGAGGGCAAAAGTTTCCGACCCGGCCCACCGCCGCACCGGTGACCAAGCGACTTTTGGAGAGTCCCATTTATCAGTAGCGAGCGGTCAGCTCCTTCCTTCATAATGACCTTTACGGAAAGTCCTGCTTTTCGTCCAGATAGGCATCGACGCCGTGTTAGATTTCTCATCTTTGGGAGGGGCAAAAAGATAGTCTTGCCCACACGATTTAGCTTTGGGGAGGGACAAAGCACATTTTGCCCTCCCCTGGATCCGACACTGATTCTGTGTGCTTGAGATAGCTAGTTGGAGATCGTTCCCGGAGCCAGAATAGCAGCTTTCATTTTTCCCATTGACTTAAAATGGTGAGGTCACGAAAATGACCTGACCTCATATGACCTTTAGGAAAAATCCGAGATATACAAGTTGTAAGGCTCCTGATGGATACTAGGTCCTGCAAGTTTCATTTCCCTGTAAAAGCTCCTCTGGCCGTGAGGACTGAGGGCGTTGCGAGGTTGCGACATCTGAAGACCGTGCAGAAGTTCACTTATGACGTCATAGGTCAGTGACCTGACCTGACCCGAAAATGCTGTTGGTGTCAAAAGATCCGGCTTGAATCAAAGGTCAGGTATGCCAAGTTTCAGCTCTCTACCGCCAGCTGTTCGGAGCTTTCGCGAAAAAAAAAACTATGGGGGGGGGGCTTCCGCCCCCGCCCCCTCGGCCAGCGATGGTTAATGTCCCCTTAATGCCCATGTTGGTCAGTACGGGCCTCTCAGACAGCTAAGAACTTTCTGGGATCCAGCACCGGCCTTCAACACCATAATTGAAGGACCACTTTTTCATATCATTATACGATAACAGTGAAAGCCTCGATTTTAGACATAACCTTAAATACGCCATGGCGCTGGTCGCAATATGTGTAGGCGCAATTTGGAATTTATATCACATGACAGGAAAATTTTGATAATGCTGCACATGTGGCATGTACCGTTTTGTTTGTTGCTCTGCATACTTGGCACACATATGTAACATAACACTACTGAAATCACTTTTTAACCACTCTTCCTCACGAACAGCTGTTTCCACAGAAACAGGAGAACAGGAAATTGCTGATTTACAGTTCAGTAAATAGGTAAGCAAGTTCACGATAAGAAAACACCGCATTTTACAAAATCGCTCCTTTGTAGTACGTGACCTACGACCTTAGCTGTTGGCGGTTGGTCAACCAATATTGCATTGATGATTGTGATTAGAAGATTGTATTCCTAATCCTAACATCAATCAAATTATTAATTTTGCAGATAATGACGAGAGCGCAGCCATAGGAGACCTGGGGCAATATAGAAACTCTCCCGTATGTATGCAGCGAACTCAGCGAATGGTGATTTCTTATGGTGTTAGGGCTTTGATCCGTTTTTATTTTCATTCCATTGACAACCAGCACCTGTATTATTTCAAGCAGATATCCAGCCCAAAAACTAAGGGGGACAAACGGGAAAGCAACAAGGGAAAATCGCAAAGCAAGAAGAAGGCGAAGTCTGGCGACAAGCGGCAGCAGGGTGATAAGAAGGCCGCCGACTCGGCACGCGGCAAGAAGGACAAAAACGAGCTGGTACTCACGTTCAACATGGACTTCTTCTTCAGTGGTAATTCTATTTGTCATCAACCTACATAAGCATGGACGATAAAAACCCTAATACTCATCATGCTATTCTTTTTTTGACACTTATAGGTACATTTACAGCATGAGCCTGAGGATTTTTGCAGAAGGGTGAATGGGGCCTCATTCAGCTCACATTATCAAGCATTGGTGCGATCGATTTTTCTTCAGCTCTAAAGACCCACCGATGTAACGATATGCACTACTGGCTAAAAAATCGCAAGGACCTGTTGGTCAATTTCTTGGTCTATTATTTCTACGAGCACTGCTCACTTATGTGGTCAATCGAGTACCTTTTGGAGGCTGATGCTGGTGACTGAGCCATCTCTGTGAGACAAGCGTGGTACGCCCCAACGGATTGAAAGATCATGACCGCCGACCGGCCTGATGTTTAGATGCCCAGATGTTTCAGTCGTCTTGATGACACATAAGCATTGTCTCAGCTTGCATAGAAATAAGAATAGCAAGGTGCTCCGGCTATCTTCGACGCTAAGAACCACCATTAAAGTGGCGCTTTACCATGGCCCGCATCTGACGCCCCCTCCCGCTTTCCCGCTGTGGCGGCAGGCACGCTGCAGCTGACCGCCAGCAGCGCCCTCTGTGTCGACTCTCCGGGCCTGGTGCAGGTGGCGCTGGTGCTGCGCGCGCCCGCCTTCCTGGCCGCCCGCCAGCGGCTGGCGCTCAACCCCCTGGTGGTGCACCTTCGCGGCCTGGAGGGCCTGCCCGCGCTGCCCACCGGCTTCGCCATGGCGGCCGGCGAGCGTCAGGAGTCCGAGACGCCGCCGCCGCCGGCCGAGGAGGCAGACGGCGGCGAGGAGGCGTCCACGGCCGGCGCCGAGGCCGCCCGCCGGCCGCCCGTCTTCTTTGCGGCCGTGCACATGCCGGACGGCGAGGTGTACTGCTCGCCCGACCAGGACTACGCCCACCAGGTGCTGGCTCCCACATATGTACATCACCTCCGTCTGACAGGTGTCAGTTGACCTTCGCTTTCATGTGGCATCTGCTTCAAAACTTCGATGTATCTCTAATCAACGCCGATTTGATCATGGTTTAGGTTCGTAAAACCATTTTCAAGAAAAATTTATTGACCATCTAACGTTCCCCCCAGTAGGTCATTATGTAGAGGCCGCTTTGATCATGATTTAGGTTCGTGAAACCATTTTCAAGAAAAATTAAATGGCCATCTTAAGTTCCCCCAGCAGGTCATTAGAGGAGCCATTCCGGAACACAACCCAGCAACTATCATGTAGCTGCAATGCAGCATAGTTATTTGTTGCTTACTTCTTGATCTTTTAACCGGCGCCCCGTTGGGCTCTGCCGAGCAACGCGCCCCGTTGGGGGGGGGGGCAATTTGCCCCCCCCCCTAAGATCTCGAGAACCACGCAACCTAGCGACAAGCGGCAAACGGTGTTGGATAGCCCTATCAGGGAACTACCTTGTGACCCATTTTTATTGATCTAGGTCAAACCGATGACGTCACAGGTCAGGTCAAAGGTCGAATTTTCACCGTCTACAGGCATTGCAAGAAATGCGTTGTAAAATCGAGTAAAATGCATTTCATTGAAAATCATCGATGGGGAAATGTTCTTCATACACATATTTTGCTGTTTGAGGTCACTGATACCAGGTCAGGTCACAGAGGTCAAGTCACTGGGGGGTCACAATATGAAAGTGTCGTGTAATACATGTTTTATGGTCCATTTTACATGACAAATGCGATTATGTGGGTCAGGCAGCCTTTGGGGCCAGCTTAGGTCACGTTTTGGTCAAGGTCAGGTCAAGGTCAGGTCAGATTAGGTCAAATTTCAAAGTTGATATTTTTGCATAAAATGGGTATCGATTCGATGCAGCTCGTCACGGGGAGTTCAATGGTGGTCTTTGTTTTTCCCTATGTGGTCTAGAATCGCTAAAAATTGAGTTCAAAAATTTGACGTCATCATTTTTGAACAGTTTTTTTTTTTTCGCTATAACTTGGCCAAAAAACGAGATATCGATCTGAAATTTGGTATGTATATAGAAGAGCGTAGGGACTATCACATATATTCCAGGTTTTTCGAAATTCGAATTTTTTCGATTTTTTTAGTTTTTCTAAAAAAAATCTTTTTTTTTATTTTTAGGGGTCAAAAACCCCCAAAAAATTGAAAATCCGAGATAGCAGTTTTGTAGCGCCGCTTTTTGTCTACTAGACCATATAAAGAACTTTGAAATTGCTTTGTAACTGTAGCTTTGGTGAGCGTTTCAAGATTGCATGTTTTTTGCTCATTTTTGCTCGATCATGACCTCAGTTTGACCTCAATAACTCCTGACCTAAGGTGACCTTAGACTTGAAATTTTGGTGTGAAGGTGTCAAATTGATGCCCGGGAAGGTACTGAAAATTTAGCGGCGCTGCGCGCCGCCGTTTTCTTGCTATTCAGGAAAAACTACAGGGGGGCAAATTGTCCCCCCTGCCCCCCCCCTCCCCAACGGGGCGAGGGTTAAGGCTAGGCCCTTTGGTCTTATGAGGTCATTCTTGAATCGGAAATCGGAATAATGATAAAATTAAGGGAATCATTGGTCTTGGCGGCCACCCGGGTGCACCGCCGTGCGCCACCCTGGGCTGAGCCCGCCTCGGCTCGATGGATGGACGGGTCACCCCACCACACGTGGGCCGGCTCCTGAGAAGCTACTCACGACCGTCCAGTCAGGGCGGTCACCAGAACAGCCGTTGTGAGATATTATTGAGGCGTTGAGAGTCATGGAACTGACGGAACAGGCGACGGATCCGCTGTATCGCATAAGGTTATATTCCTGTCACTAGGTCTAGGTGGCAGCAGTGGTAACGCCTGCACGTGTATGCTGCGCCGCACAAAATTATATTCTTGTCACTAGATGGCCCTAGTAGTAACGCCTGTACGGGTATGCTGTGCCGCACAAGTTTATACTCCTGTCACTAGGTGGCAGCAGTGGTAACGCCTGCACAGTTATGCTGTGCCGCACAACTCACAAGGTTATATTCCTGCCACTAGGTGGCGGCAGTGGTAACGCCTGCACGGGTATGCTGTACCGCACAACTCTTAACCCTCGCGGGGCTGGAGTCTCCAGCCGAACGCGCGGGGCTGGGGGGTAAATTTTACCCCCCTGTTATCTCCCGAACTAATGGTCCGATTTGGAAAATTCAAACGCCAATCGAAAGATCTTATCACGAACAACTAAAAACATGTACTTAATTTATTGAGGTCAAGATCAAGGTCAGGTCAAAGGTACAAATTGCAAGTTCCTACAGTAACGGCCTTGCACCGTAGTTGCCGAAGAATGGAGTCATGGACTGAGACTGATTGTCCAAAACGTGTTCTTAGGCTACCAAGACAATATTCGTTGCATACAATATCATTCAGAGGTCAAGGTCAAGGTCAGATCAGGTCAGGTCAGGTCAGGTCACCAAAAACAAAATATAGAAAAGGGCATGTGCGACACATGTTTTATGGGTCATTTTACTCATAGAATTTAATAGGCACACTCAATAAGTGATATGGACCACCTTTGGATGAATTTCAGGTCGAGGTCAGGTCCAGGACAGGTCAAGTGAGGTCAAATTTTGAAGTTGGTTGTTAAGGCCTAAAAAGGTGTCTATCTAATGCAGTTTTTCACGGCGAATCGAATGGTGCTATTTTTGTTTCCGTACGAGGTCTAGAACTTCAAAAAAAATCAAAATTTTTGTGTGTCGTGACGTCATAAAATTTTGAATAACTCCCACATTTTTGAACCGATTCTTCTAAAAATTGGTATGTAGGTGCACATAGACAACTTCTCTGACATGTATTCCGGTTTTTTCGATACTCAAAATTTTGGATTTTATAATTATTTTCCCAAAAAAGTCACTTTTTTAAGAAAAAAATGGACCAAAATCCAAAATTTTCAAAAAACCGAGATAGCCATTTGATAGACAAAGTAGAATTACGTATACCCTTTTTTGTTACGTCTTGATTCCTTTAAAAATGAAGATGTTAGCGGCGTTTGAAATTTTGCCGTTTTTTAAGCGAAAATGGCGAACATGACGTCACTAAAACGTCAATTTCTAAAAAAAAAATCCGACGGATTTCGCTCAAATTTTCAGGGAACGTGTCAAATTGATGTAAGAAAAGGTACTGAAAGTTTGGCGCCGCCGTTTTCGAGATATTGCAAAAATTCGCGAGGGGGGTTAAAATTTACCCCCCCCCCCAGCCCCGCGCGGGTTAACCCGCGCCCCGTAGGGCTACCGGCGGACCCTACCACCCGTAGGGGGGGGGCCGTATCGGCCCCCCCTAAGATCTCGGAAAGTTACCGGCCGATTTTCAAAATTCAAACGGCGTTCGATAGCCCCGCCCGGGAACTACCTTGTGACCAAATTTCATTGACCTAGGTCAAACCGATGACGTCACAGGTCAGGTCAAAGGTCAGATTTTCACCGTTCACAGGCAATTCAAGAAATGTGCTGTGAAAGCGAGTAAATTGGTAATTTATTGAAAACCATCGATGGTACATTGTTCGTCAAACACATACTTTGCTATCTGAGGTCACTGATACCAGGTCAGGTCACAGCGAGGTCAGGTCACCGGGGGTCACAGTATGAATGTGTCGTGTGATACATGTTTTATGGTCCATTTGAAACGACAAATGCGATTATGTGGGTTAGGCAGCCTTTGGGGCCAGCCTAGGTCACGTTTTTGTGAAGGTCAGGTCAAGGTCAGGTCAAATTAGGTCAAATTTCAAAGTTGATATTTTTGCATAAAATGGGTATCGATTCGATGCAGCTCGTCACGGGGAGTCTAATGGTGGTCTTCGTTTTGCTCTACGAGTTCTAGAATTGCCAAAAATTGAGTTTGAAAATTTGACGTCATCATTTTTGAACAGTTTTTTCACTATAACTTGGCCAAAAAACGAGGTATCTATCTGAAATTTGGTATGTAGATAGAAGACGGTAGGCACTATCACAGATATTCCGGTTTTTTCGAAACTCAAAAAACTTTTTGGATTTTTTGGCAAATATATCCAAAAAATGTTTTTTTGATTTTTGGGGGTCAAAACTCAAAAATTTCAAAAATTCGAGATAGCAGTTTTGTAGCCCTGTCAATTCTACACCTTTTATGTATTGATCATTTTTCTGTATCTTCAAAGCTGTAGTCCTGACAGGTCTTCTCACGAAGGTCTTTTTTCGGTCGAAAATGACAGAACATGACGTCACTCTGACGTCATTTGTGGCCAACCTATCATAGCCTCTGGAAAAAATTTTTGGTCACAATGTGTAAAATTGATGCCCGGAGGGGTCCTGAAAGTTTGGTGGCGATATCTCCAGCCGTTTAGGAGATATCGACCGAAAAGGACAGGGGGGGCCGTTTCGGCCCCCCCCCCCTACGGGGCGCGGGTTAAGGTTATATTCCTGTCACTAGGTGGCACTAGTAATGACGCCTGTACGGATATGCTGTACCGCATGCCACGTCAGGCCGCTCGGTATACTCTGCTCGGTGTTGCCGTAGACGGGCGATGCGACTTTCCTTATGCAGCCTGGAGCGACACATCGGGTAATGATGATTTCATTCGCTGATTGATATTTGCATTTTGATTTTGAACATTTATTGCCTTATCAACACGTCCAATAGGATCCTTGTATGCTTTATAAATCGTTTTTTTTTTTATCGAAATAGAAGAGTTAAAGGTATGGGGATTGGGGAGCATTCCTCCCAGCTCGTCCATTAGGTACCGCCTTTCTGGATCGGCCAAAGTTACGATAAAGGATCAGGATGGCTGCCCACCCGTGTCCCAGGGGTCGCCGTGCTGCAAACAGCAGTGTAGGCGCCTCTCGGTACGCCGCGTGGTGACGCCAGTGGCTCCGTCCGTCAGGTGACGCTGAACGAGCTGTCAGTGGTGTTTTGCGGCCTGCTGGAGCGCGAGGCGCTCTGGGAGCGTCTGCAGACCGTGCCGCTGCGCATCGAGCTGCTCTGGCGCCACACCACACCGCTGGTCAGCAACAAACGCTTCAACCAGATGGAGATCGACCGCTACATCCACCAGCCGAACCTGGTCAACATCATCAAACAGTCGGGCAACCCGTTCGCCCTGCCCAACCCGCTGCCCACCAAATTTGCAGAGGTGGGAATTGGGAGACACGTACGGGAGATTGGGGACTCGGCGGAGTCCCGTTACAGTGTAGCGGTGTGTGGTTTCCTACACGTGCGTCATTTTACTCCTAAATATAGTCAAAGTGCACGCAATTCAGTTGGAAAGCATACCTTTTAGAGATACATAGTGTCTACGTTTAGGTTGCACTATGACGAATCTCGCGTTACGAAATACGATTCAATATATCCACATATGAATGCGCTATACTGCACCGCAGAAATCGCCCGATTTATTATTGAAATGTGTGCACTGCCGCCTAAATGGGATTAAAAGGTGCAGATGTGATGTGAGCCGTGAGGGCTGCGCGACCACTAGGTCAGCGGTAGTGAATCATTGGGTGCTTCATGCAGCCTACCAGACACCATTATGTCCTACAGAAGCCATTTGGAAATGTATGATATACCTATTCAACACTGAGTCGGTCAGACAACTTCAGACAACAGACAACAGACCTCAGTCAGCTGCAAGGACCGTCTCCTCGCCCATTTGGCGGCTCTGCCCCATGCTCTTGTCTCCTGTCCGTGAGGAGGTCTGACCCGCCGCGCGCTGTCCCCACTCTCCGTCCCCTGTGTGCGCGGCAGGTACTGGTGGACGTCTCTGCCCTGACGCGCGGCGTGCGTCTGCTCAGTGTCGAGGTGCCGCTGACGGCGGTGCCCGCCGGACCGGCTGCCTCTCCGGCGGCTGACATTGAGCGCGGCACGTGTCCGCCGCCGTTCGGGCCGCTGCAGCTGCTGCAGTCGGCGGCGCAGCTGTCCGTGTCCGTGTCGCTGGCCGTGCCGCTGGACCTGCTGCCGCGGCCGGCGCCGGCGCGCTGCGCCTACGGCCGCCTGCTGGCCGTGGTCTCGCAGCGCGGCCTGCAGCGCAGCGGCGTGCTGCAGCTCATCCAGCAGCTCAACGAGCCGCCCAGCCCGGCGGCGGCCGAGGGCGTCGCGCCGCGCCGGCCCGGCGACGTCAGCACGCCGGGCATCAGCGGCTTCTGCCTGGCCGACCGGCAGCTGCACCTGCTGTTCGCCGAGGGGCGCGCCGACGCCGAGCTGGAGCAGGTGGCGGCCGCGCTGCGCGCTCTGCCGCGCCGCGACGCCCGCCTCTGCCACCACTCGGGCCTGCTGTTTGGGGAGCGCCTGTACGCGCGCCGGCCGGCCGCGTTCCGCGTGCTCGAGGGCCGTCCGCTGCGCGCCCGGCTGCTCGAGACGCGCCTCTACACGTCACATAAGCAGGAGGAGCCGGCGCGCGCCGTCCGCGCCATCGGAGAGTGCTTCCGCACCCAGTGGCTATCGGACACGCTGAAGATGAACCTGCTCCCCAGTGAGACCGGCCTGCTCAGCCTGCAACAGCTGCTGGCCGGCTAATCAGGCCAAGAACACCGCCCTCAAACCGATGCCATTGTCAAATCAACGCATGTTGATGCTTTCGCTAGGATAGGCTTACGTAAGGCTATAAAAGTTGCAAAAAAAAAGGGACTGCTGTGTGATCCGTTCGGCATGCATCAGTATCGTGAGATCTCTGTTTCACAGACGGACAACTTGCCAGTACCAATATCGGTAGTATGTAGATAACTCCTCTGCCCCACCGACACTGTCAAAGAAATACCGCAGCAAGCTATAAAATCCAACAGGATTCATAAATGTTTTATTGCACTATATTTTCTCGCATATATGAAAGCTCTCAAAATGTACAATATTCCTTTCAGCGGTAAGCGGATATAAAAGCTCTACAAAACGTCCTGTGTCTCTGTGTGCAGGGCAGACACACCTGTACTGCGTATAATACAGTGTACAGGATTCGCGGCGCTGCGGAGGGCTGCTCGGTCGCCGCTTTTTACCAGTGGGCTCAGGTCGGACATATAGGTGAACAAGGCTACCTGCTAACGCTACTCGGCCTCTCAGTGGTGAAGTGTCAGCCGCTCAGCCGGCGTGTTTTTGTGGGAACTGTTTTGACAGCAGCGACCGAACAGCTCTCGAGCCGGCGACCTGTGAGCGTAAACAGCACAGCGCTTCCCCAGGCATCAGCGGCTGAGCATGCATCAGCTGTGGGCGGACCGGCCGCCCCAACATGTGTGTGGAACAAAAACGCAGTGACTCATACCACCCGTAACACATGTTGAGGAAGAAAAGCGCATTTAGTTTTCAGATCATATCTTGTAAAGTATCTTCAGGGTATCTTATCGAAGGTATCTTGAACCAAATGACTGATAGCGAAAGACGGACTGTCTCTCGTATCCATCAAAACACGTACTCTACAAATTACCTTGGTAAGTTGTCGCAAATCGCTAGTATTGCACTACGGTGTGGGACCCCGCCCCGAACAAAATCCATTACCACGCACCGGGTCCAGCTCCTAATCCGAGCCGCGGCGTCCCGTCTATGTACATAACACCCGCAGCCGACGCCACAGTCGAGCGCTGTCGGAGACGGACCACCCGAGACGGCAGTCTCCAATACAGGGTATCAAAACACGCCACTCGTCTAATATCAGCAAAATGAGTACCTACCGATCGACTACAGGAGAATACAATGGGTTGCAGCAGATCTGGATCAGATCGCGGCACTCAGGCCGCCGTGCCCGCGCCGCTGGTCGCCGGCTCCAGCTGTTCGACCTTCGGCGCGGAAGCTCGATCACAAGACTGACCTCAGTGGGCGCTCTGTGCTCGACACACGGTGACCGGGTCAGGGGCAGGCCGCTGCCGCCAGCGCTGCGGCCACCAGCCACGCGGCGGCCGGCGGCGGCAGCGACCACGCGCCGGCCGCCACCACCCGCTCGGCCCCGATGCGCGCCACGGCGTCATTGGGGTTCCCCTGAGCGGGGTCGAACCAGAGCTGCATGCACGGCTCCGTGTCCGCCGTGAACTTCCACGAGTGGTCCCACACCTGAAACGGCGGCACGGTCGGCGTCAGAGCGCAGCTCACACTCTCCGTCCGCGTACCGGTCAGCTCACAGCCGGTCTGAGTCACAGCGCAGCTCACAGCCGGTCTGAGTCACAGCGCAGCTCACCGTCCGGCTACACGGGCCACTGTCCGGCTACACGGGCCACCGTCCGGCTACACGGGCCACTGTCCGGCTACACGGGCCACTGTCCGGCTACACGGGTGACCGCTCCATTATACGGGCCACCGTACGGTCAGACGGGCGACGGTCGGATCACGCGATCCGGCCAGAGGATACCGACTGTAGCTGATGTGGCGCTTAGCAGGTCTGCCCGCGCCGAGCGGTGTGATGACTCGGGCCAACTGAGAGCACATACCGCTGCTGACCGGGCGCTGTATCAACAGAGACGGACTGACCGACACACGCTGATGACACACAGCACGATATATGTTCCTGACGTAGGGTAGCGGAATGATTTATTCCGTGGTTTATATGATGCATATTTTCTCAGACATATTTATCAGGAATAGGGTGACAAGCGTAAATTGTACCTAACGTAGCCTTGTTAACCCTCGCACTTGTAGGGAGGGGGGGGGGGTGTCAGATGGACCTCTCCCTCGTGATTTTTCGCAAAATACTGGCGCAAAAAGCGGCCGATCGCGACGAAACTTTCGGTACCCTCGATTTTATCAAGTTTTCACCTGACCTGAAAATGTTATGACCCTGAACCAACTGCCCTTTGACCTGTGACCCATTTCTCGAGACCATGTGTGTTTGGCCGGAATCGCGATTCGGCGTATGTCAGGTAACATTATCCGATCGTTTCCAGGCTTTTTTTTTGTTGTTTTAAACGTTCAAACATGTGAAATGATGTTGGTTCCATGCATTATGGTGGTTGTCAAGGTCACGTAAAGGTCAGGTCAAGGTCATTGACCTAAAATGACTTTGGTTCACTTTTTCGAATCTTACTTGTTTCTAGGGAAGTTTTTGGAGCTGAATTCGAATTTAGCAACCATTTGCACATTTACGAAGCAGTTTTGGTGCCTCCGTAGCATGTTACGAATGTCAGTGGTAGGTGACACCTACTACCTACTATGGATAGCCGGCAGGACGCCTACTGGTTGACCCGACCTAACCCGACCTGGCCTGAATGCATGAAGAAATCGTCTGTGATCAAAACTAACATGAAATTCGTGATCAGCACCCTGAAATACCCGTAACACCACCACTTTACGAAATTCTCAGAGATCTCGATTTTTCCAAATTTTTGGGTCACTGGCCTTTGGGACTTGGAAAGTCAACTAATAACCTTGGACTTTGAGATTGGATATGTTCGGCCTTCTCTCGTTCTGGGCAACAGCTAAATTTTTCCGCGAAGCTCTAAATTGATCAGAGGCCAAACGGCTGGGCCAGGGTCCAATTGACCCCCTATACCTACTATGTTTATTATGTACGTTTGTCGTTTAATGGTAACACTCACCACAACTCACCGGTCAACATCTGTGCACAATCTGGCTATAATACTACCTTTGGTTTGCCCTCTACGAATAAAGAGGTGCTAGATCGGAAAAAATCCCTACTTTGCGATGGGGGCAGCCCCCTCCCAGAGTCTGTCCGATGGGGGCAGCATCTCCCACATACCCACCCAAAGTAATCTTGACCCACCCCACCACCCCTCACACACATACACAAACCGTGGCCGCTGAGCGCGACCATGTGTCACCTTCTCGCAGAAGTTGTCGGCCGTCTGGTAGACCTGCTCGAATGTGAAGCACGGAGCGCCGGCCGGGCAGTGGTTGGTGCCGTTCTTCCAGCGGAAGTTGCGCGTCCAGTTGTCGGTGCAAGTGAAGTCGCGTTTGCAGGCCTCGAACCACATGGTGCAGTGAGTGGCGCACAGTGGCACGTCCACAAAGCGTTCGTTGCGGATCTTCATGTCCACCTGAGGGCCGGCAGACGGCGTTCCGGCGAGTCAGATTCTCAGTCACACAGACGCGGACAACAGACGAGTGCAGCACCCACGCTGCCACATGTAACCATGCATCGCCGGCCATCCTACCAACTTACTGAAAACAGGCAAAACAACTACTGAATAGGAATACCACAACACCCGCCTTCCAGCGGGCGCACAGTCCACACCGAGCGCGCTCTCTGGCCCTGGTCGGACAGGGCATCCCCCACCTTTGTGACCCAGGGTCCGATGTTGGGCGAGCACTCGTAGAAGCAGTGGTCGCGCTGGAAGTACCAGCGGCACTCGGCCGACATGGTGCGGCCCGGACAGTGGTCGTACGTGAAGCCGTGCAGCGAGGAGGTGTGCAGCGCGCGGCTGATGTTGGCCGTGCAGCAGGCCCGCTCACGCCACGGAGAGCACTGCACAGAGGCGGCGGCAGTCAGCGCCGAGCGCAACGGCCTGCAACACTCAATAGGCAACAGCGTCTGCAGTCCACCACAGACTGCCTATTCCAGATAGCCTATTCGAGCCTTTCAATGTCACACAGACTAATCGTAACCAACTCAGGTAGGGTAGACAAGATACAGCAGTAAGTATGAATGCTCTAACAGCACAGCAAGATAAAAACCTGCATCGACATTGGAATATCTTGTTAACACCATTTTGGACAAAAAAATATTAAGCTAAATTTTAAGAAGGCCAGATGGATTTCTTACAAATCTGTGCAGTTCGTCCTCTGGTCCTGGCCGAGACTTGTGATGTTTTCCATCCAGGCACCAGTTGAGCATATCATCAATGTTGTCAGTTAGCTGCCCACGTGCTGAGGCCACACAGGCCAGCAGCATACCAGCAGTTAAAAGGAACCACATGGTAGCCTGCAACAATCAGCAATGCTGGTGAGCAGATGAGATATGCCAATAAAAACATCTGTACACACATATGGCTATTTCATTAGTTTTTGACACACAGAATTAGAGAGTGATACATGACACACTCTAAAGCCATCCAGCAACACTTTGATCTGGGAGCTGTTTAGTCACATTGCTTATCAACAGGCTGCCAGCCTGCTGCTATTTCTTGGCTTTTCATTAGTAAACTTCCTGTGGTCTGCATGGCTGACCAATGAGAGGCCAAGGAACACCAGCAATGAAGTTCCTTTGAAGGAAAACCAGCGGCATGCTGATAAAACTGGCAACTCAACATGACCCTGGTGCCAAACAAATCACCCCATGGATTTCCAAAATAATGGTTTTGTTTTTGGCATGGTTGGTCAGTTGCAGCCAGTGCCTGGTTTTGGTTTTAACTTGTTTTATCCATACTTACGGAGCGAGGAGAGAGCGTTCAGCATACTCTTTAATATGGTCATGGGAAAGAGGCCCAAATTTGGGCAGAATAACACAAAATTGGGTAAAGCTTAGCAAAGGGTGGTTTCTGGGACAAAAATGACCGCTGAATCTGAATGGTGCACACCTCTAATTAGTGTTGCACCACTTCCAGAGCATGTGGAAGTTGCAACTGCCAGGAAGACATGCAGCACGTGACGTTCATGTTGAAAGTTCCAACAGCATGTGCAGACCCCAGAATTTGCAGATCCGAAGAATTTGGCACTGCCATTCACAATAAAATTATGCTACCGCCCTGCGCCAAAAAATTCAGTGGCCACCATGTGTTGTGTTCAGTGCATGCGAAATAATGCTGTGAATATGTGCTGAAATTTCCAATACAATCCCGCCACAACGCCAGACATATTCAGCATAGGACGACCCATCTAAGGCATGCAAGTATTTCATGAAAAAAAACTTATGGAAGATATAAAAAACTACTATTACAATTTACAAATGCATGAACCTTTTCTCAATTTAGAATTTTAATATAATTTATAAACAGCTAGGAGTGATCCATATTCGTGCATATCAATATAGCATAGTGAGCCCCAAGATTACTTTACTACTCCTGAGCCCACTCTATTTAGCCTATTTTGATTTAGGGCTTGATTTAGGGCCTTGAGCCCAAAGCCCATCTTGAGCCTTAATTGAGCCCACTGAACTCCACGGTATATAGAACTCCAAGTGAGCCTGAGCGGAGTTCAGTGGCCCGAGCCGAGGTATCTACTATCTGTAAGAATCTTGGTATCTACTACGTTCACAATCTTAGAGTCAGAGGTATAGAGTTCAGGTGGAGTTCAGTGCGTTCAGTGAGTCCACCTCTTGCCACCTCACTGAACTCTACGTCTGTCAATTTAGCAGCAACGAATATCAGCCTCACAGCAGCATATTTCGGGGTGTTTCAATTTAGCTCAAAATTGGTACGCAGGTCCTTCTCGATGCCCTCGATGCTGATGCGCTGATTCCGAAAATGTGCATCTTTGGGGTGGTATTTTGGGTATCGGTAACGTTTACTTTTTGGGATCTCCGCTGTTCCTAGCGGAAGCATTGACAGCTGAAAGTGCGGCACTTGTTGCGCGCAAAGCAGCATATACCACCGCGTGCTACTAAACGTTTTAGTCAAACATTTAAAAATCGTTAGATATCTGCGCTGACGTCAAACATTATTCAGAGGGGTATTCCCTTGGGTATTCCTATCAAGTAGCCCCTCTGAATCAAAATGCTGCAATTTTGAAATTCAATATTTCCCATTTAAGGCATTTCTCGATGTTGTGAGTGCCGAAACCGGTAATTGTGAGCCGGGGACCCCATTTTGGCTATCTCAACTCAAATCTAAGTGGGAGGGTCCCTTTAACGAGTTAACGACCAATAACATTTTAACGGGAAACGGCGGGGTCTTTCGATTTAGCTGAAAATCGGTGTACAGAGCCTCCTTGATGCGCTCAGCGCTGATTCCGAAAATGTACCTCTTTAAGGTGGTATTTTGCACCGTCAACGAGTTAACGGCCAATTAACATTTTAACGTGAAACGGCGGGCTTTCGATTTGGCTGAAAATCGGTGTACAGGGCCTCCTCGATGCGCTGATTCCAAAAATGTACCTCTTTGGGGTGGTATTTCGCACCGTTAACGAGGTTAACGGCTTGAATTAACATTTTAACGGGAAACGGCGGGGTCTTTCGATTTGGCTGAAAATCGGTATACAGGGCCTCCTTGATGCGCTGATTCCGAAAATGTACCTCTTTAAGGTGGTATTTTGCACCGTCAACGAGTTAACGGCTAATTAACATTTTAACGGGAAACGGCGTGGTCTTTCGATTTAGCTGAAAATCTGTGCTCCTCGAGCTGAAAATCTGGGCCTGCTCGATGCACTGTTTCCGAAAATGTACCTCTTTGGGGTGGTATTTTGCACCGGTAACGAGTTAACGACCCGTTAACATTTCAGCAGCATATATCGAATTCAGCAGCATATTTCGGGGTCTTTTGATTTGGCTGAAAATCGGTATACAGGGACTCCTCGATGCGAGGATTCCGAAAATTTACCTATTTGGGGTAGTATTTTGCACCGTTAACGAGTTAACGACCAATTAACATTTTAACGGGAAACGGCGGGGTCTTTCGATTTGGCTGAAAATCGGTGTACGGGGCCTACTCGATGCGCTGATTCCGAAAATGTACCTATTTGGGGTGGTATTTTGCACCGTTGACGAGTTAGCGGCTAATTAACATTTTAACGGGAAAAGGCTGGGTCTTTCGATTCGACTTAACCCTCGCCCGCACATGGGGGGTGGGGTGGTTGCCCCGTCCCCCCCCCCCCCAGATAGTTTTTCTGCTCTCCACTCAACTTTTTTATAGCTAGAAGCCTGATTTTTCGTATAGCTGCTCCTCTATATCCTTTCTTGATGTCCACTGACAATTTCAAGTTTCTGTGGTTTTTGGTTTTGGAGATATGACCTTGTTTTTCAGGTCATGTCGGTCATGTCATGACCCAAATGACCAATTCTCAACATCTTGCGTTGGCAATGTGCCTTGTGAGCTTTTGACACCTTGATTTCGGCCTTTTTTGCCAGTCTTACCTCCCACCTATCATGGAACATGTTGTTCGACGATATGCAGATGTCAAGGTCAGGGTCAAGGTCAACCTAGGTCATCGAAAATAATTGCGTTTTAGGCAAGCTGAATTAACTTTCCGTGAAGTTTTTTGACTGCATTTTTGGTAAAAGCTTCTCAGATCATGGTTTGAAGTAATATGGACACATGAAAACAATCGGTACACACATCAGTATACACACAGACACACACAGACATACAAACACATATCATTGACCTTGACCTAACTTGACCTGAAACGACCTCAGCAGCAAAAACCTGGTTGGGTAGTGTGACAAAGAGGTTCTAGCTGGCTTGGCACCAAAAAACGGCATCGTCATCGGTTTATGAATTGATAAGCATCGCACTTGATATCCAACGGTGACCCAAAACAGCAACATTTTTAGTTTGACCTGGCCTGGAAGGTCAATGACTGACCTGAGAAGGTAAAACTGGGTATCATTGGATTCGTCTCTTCCCAAAGAATCTTTTTGGTCTTTACCGCAAAGCTCTAGGGGAAAGTGGGGTAAGACGGGCACCTTAACTTTGGAACTATTTTTCGTCCGGTTAGAAACATCATAGAAACGGGAAACTTGGTGAAAACCTTTTGTAGACATTTTACTTCCATTTGCCAGAAGGTGAGACTTAGACCTGATTCAACAAATAAATTGCAGCTATTTTTGCAAAACCTTGCAAAAACCCGTCTTACCACACCCCATGGGGTAAGACGGTCACATGGGTAGGGCAAGACGGCCAGCTTCTTTCACCGACCAGCACAGCTCGCAACAAATGTCCGAGATTAGCCGCATTGATACAGTCGCTCGTTGGTCTCAAGTGCTTCGGAAATGGCAGTATACGAGATTCGTGCAGATGGCGTATGCTCGTATATAGGCCCTAGTTCAGAAGCCATGTAGAACCGTTTTTCACATTCATTATTCGAGAATAAACTGTGCCGAAGGAATATTGCTCACATGTCTGTGAGTATCGGAATCGAACATATTCTTATTAGAATTGCTTCTTTTTTCCTACACACAAACCAAAATATTAACACCGTTAGCGGTGTAATTGCACAGTACATATCTGAGCACTTGAGGAAAGTTAATTTAGTCCCTTCCCCGCTTAAATAACTCGCGCTTCTAAATGAACACCAGGAAGAAGGTAATAGAACGCTGTTAGGAGGGTTGGGTGTTTTACCTACTAGGATGTAGTAAAACACCCAACCCTCCTAACAGTGTTCTTTTACCTTCTTCCTGGTGTTCATTTAGAAGCGCGAGTAATTTAAGCGGGGAAGGGACTTAATTAACTTTCCTCAAGTGCTCAGATATGTACTGTGCAATTACACCGCTAACGGTGTTAATATTTTTTTGTGTGTACAGCAACAAAAATATTTTCACCATCAAGGACCCATTGGATTCATAGTTGCCCGTCTTAGCCCAAACTCAATGTAAGAAGTTCAGCACGATTTTTCTCCGTGGACAATTTGATGCAGACAAAGCAAATCCGCAGCAAATGGACACTGGTGGCATATGAGTGTACCACAAGTGATAGCGAGCTTTTAACTCTATAGTGCTTCATACAAAAGCTTGCCCAATACATTATAAATGTTGTCAATGAAATGAGTGTTTTATAGAAATCAAAATAAAAGATAATCGACTGAACACAAATTCACCAGACTTCAATGGTGGTGTGTAGTGGGAAAGGCAATTCTGGTCCTAATTTTTCTCGCTCGTAGCGCTATTGGTTTGGTCTGCAGAAGGGGTGCCCGTCTTACCTACCCTGACCGTCTTACCCCACTTTCCCCTATCTCCAACAGGAACGAAATGGCGCGGGGAGGTGGTAGCCCCCCCCCCCCCCCATGTGCGTTCTAGGATGGGAAAATGGCATGTGCGGGCGAGGGTTAAAATCGGTACACAGGGCCACTTCGATGCGCTGAAATCAGCGCATCGAGGCAGAGGCGGATCCAGCTCAGAGTTTTTTTTTGGGGGGGGCAAACCATAACAATTTATCGATTCTTTCCATGCCTCGTCCATAGGCGTAATGTTAAAATTATGCCGTTTGGGAGGGGCAAATGCCCATTTTGCCCCCCCCCCCCCCCTGGATCCGCCACTGCATCGAGGAGGCTCTGTAAACCGATTTTCAGCCAAATCGAAAGACACCGCCGTTTCCTGTTAAAATGTTAATTGTCCGCTAACTTGTTAACGGTGCAAAATACCAACCCAAAGAGGCACATTTTCGGAATCAGCGCATCGAGGAGGCCCTGTACACCGATTTTAAGCTAAATCGAAAGATCCCGCCGTTTCCCGTCAAAATGTTAATTTGTCGACTGACCTCTAATGACCTCTAACTGACCTCAGGTCAGTGACATAAAAAAAAACGAACTACATGTTACACAACTCGGTGAACTTCGAACATCCTGAAAGTTTGAAGGAAATCAGTCTAAAGCTGTAGGTTGGACAGGTACATAAAGAAAGTTGAAAATTGACTATGACCTGACCCATAGGCAATTTGTGACCTGACCTGACCCAAGCTCACCCGGACCTGAAATTTTCAGGTCATATGTAAAAAGGCTGCCCCATAGGCTGTGCCAAATTTGGGGGTGCCCCGCCGTTTTTACGCTATCTTTGAAAAAAAAACTTAGGGGGGGTCGCATCAACCCCCCACCCCCCCCCCCCACCCCTGCCAGGGCGAGGGTTAATGATAGAGAAATAAAAAAGCTTTAAAAAATGTTACATTTTCCTTGTACTCAAGAACAACGACAATTTTTCATCGATTTCGGGCGCTAGGGGGGAGGAGGGATGGCAGCCTTTGTCCCAAATGAACCACCCTAGATCCGCCAGTGAGATTTGTGTTTTGGGTCGGATCCCCATCCCAAAACGGTGGCGGAGCCGGTGTAAGCACCTCCCTCGGGTCACTTCATTCGGATGGCGGCCTCCCCCCCTCCCCCCCCCGGGGCCCGCGCTACCACACACAAGCCTTCTCCCGTGACTGGGTGAGGTCGATCACCCTCTCAACTAGGACAGGCACGTGTTCACTCTGAAGGTTATTGAAGGGCACCCCGCACTAGAGTTAGTAACGCTAATATTTTGCTAAGCTCCGAGGTCGCATTCGCAAATATGCAACAGCTCAGGCACTCGAAGTTTGAACATATGTGCATGCAACGCTAAAAACGCCATCCCATTCCTCTTGTCTGCCCAAACGGCTGTACAAACCTTATAGCTCACGTCGCGTATGACGGCAAACTACAGTTTGGCGACCTATTTTAGGGCAATTGTGACAACATGGCGAGACGCGGCACGCCGGATCTGTTTTTGCAGCAACGCTTCGACGTTCGGTTGGCGACGGGGGTATAAAATGGTCCCGCCGATCCACGGCACATCATCATCGTCCGCTGGTCGGTCATCGATTCGTCGTCGCC